GCAGAAGGATGTGGCAGAAGGAAGCATCTCAGGACATGGCAACCAAGAAACAGAGAGAGAGCTCTGCTCACCAGGGATGAAATATAAATTCTAAAGATGTACCCCTAGTGATCTACTTCCTCTGGCCATACCCTACCTTCCTACAGTTATCACCTGAGTATCCCACATCAGTGGATTAATCCACTAGTTAGGTTATAGCTCTCATAATCTAATCATTTCACCTCTGAGTATTCTTGCATTGTCCCACACATGAGCTTTTGGTGGACACCTCATATTTAAATCATAACAGCAGTACACGTTCTCCTATTGATTGGTAACAGAAATGATTCTAGTATACCACATAGGATGAAGAAGAGCAGCCTTTTTATCATGGGACTTTCCATCAGCTCAATCAAATAACTTGGTCTTCACTTATAGGTAGTTTTGCCAACTGGCTAGCCCCTTATTTTTATAGTCAATATAACCAAATTACTTTGATACAAAAAAATGCATTTCCAAGACCCATTCACCTGTTTAGTATCATGTCTTCTCATTTTTCCATTTTTCTAAAGTGACTAAAATTCTTTATTTAATTACATATGAATATGCATTAAAGACATCAGAATGAAATACTTTTTCATTCTTTGGAGTTAAATTCCATTTTTCTATTCTATGGGTGTTTCAGTAGGATTGGGTAATCCAAACTGTTATATTTAAAATTGATTATTTCTGAAATTCTTCAGAAATAATTCTATGCACTTTGTTTACAGATAATCTTTTCAGTTCAGGCTTGACACACATAGACAAAATAATGTGTGCAAACTGTCTCCTTTTTATATTTGAGTGAATAACTGGAAGCAATGTGTGGCAGAAGGGGAAGAGAGGATGGAAGGATTACAAATATGCTAGTGAGTTTCAATATTGCTTATCCTCCATTCTACTCAAGTGAAAAAAAATGCTGGTTCTTTATTCCTATTACTCTCCTAAGTACTTTTAAGAGTGTGCACAGTGTCCTTATAAATTCTCAATTGATTCTCATGTGTAAGATGCTTTACCTATCTCTTTCTCAATCATTTTCACCTTAAAAATCTCTAACTTTCCACTTCCTTTATTTTATTTAAATTACATGGTGGCACCAAAGCACACACAAGTCTTCACTGAGAAACAAGATTTGTATGAGTTTTCTGAGCCTCAAACAAAAGAGTTATGCTTGAACCCTAGTCCTTTTGACTATGGCATTACTATTCTGGTTTTGGTAATTCAGAGGCTCTGCTTTACAGTTTGGGCTTTCTGCATAATTCTATTTTCCATATATATGAACTATCCCACAAACGTAAATTAATTTGCAAATTCTAGGAATACAACCTTCTGACAACTTTTATTTCTTGGTTAGTAGAGGTGTTGCAGTTTAAGCATGGATATTGATGAGCTAGAACCTCAAAAAAGGGAGTCAGAATTATTCCATCTCTCGTTTTCCGATACGCACTGCAAAACTGTCCACAAAATTAATATGCTATAGTGAATATAACCTTTATGTATATCTATATTGCACTAATTAAAAAAACTATAATAGAAGAAAAACCCATAAAATAGAGGGAAAGTAATAGGGGGAGAGAGGAGGGGAAGGAAAGGGAAAGCACTGGGGACTGAATTGGAGCAAATTGTACTTAATTTTTATATAATTATGTCAAAATGAACCCCAATTTTATGTATAACTATAGTATACCAATAAAAATAAATAATAACAATTTTAAAATTTTGAAAAAGAGCGAGTACCATGGCCAAAAGTTGCATCAGCTATGTATCTTACCAAAACTAACATGCTAAAGGTATCTTTTATATWTCTACAAGTTAACATCATCACTAATATTACAAGTATTATTATTATTACGTATTTCAGTGTTGAGTGTGAAGAAACTATAGTTTCTCTAATTTTGTAAATAATAGTTTTGCCATTGAACAAAAAGCATGATGTGGCTAGATTATTTCCCTCAGGGCTTGCAGACACTTTCTGTTGTCCCCAATGTGGTGGCCACATGTTTGTTTTTCAGCTGGCTGAGTGGTAATCCAGAGAGAGTTTAGAGGAAATGAAAGAGAGAGAAAATGAACTAAGCTTTTCATTAGAGTATGTGACAATGAGTTATGTGTCATCTCCCCTGAGATATGTGTATATATGTATCTGTTTTTAAAAGAAAATGAGTAGTGTTCACCACTACTGTTCTAATCAGTTATTTATATTCTGATAAAACTCTTTTAAGTCTGTTGAAGCTAATTTGAAAAAAAAAGGTCAACCTCATTCAGTTATCAATTTTTAGTGTTTATGTGTGGAAATCATCACTAAGGTATACCACAATTAAGGGTAAATGTGTCCAAAGAAATGCTTGTAACCAAAATAAATGTATATAGAATTTTACTGTTGGACAATATGTAAAAAAATTAAAATTGTAGCATGAAGGCTTTAACTCACAAAAACAGTATACCTAATGTTTTTAAAGTCCAACTAAAGGAATTATTTGATCAAATATTAAAAATTACAATCAAACATTGTAGTGACTGAGTTGAAAATAGTGCAAATAACTGGAATATTAAAAAAAATCAGAGATTTTTAAACTAGTAAAAGTTCATTCGAAAAGATTTAAGTTAATCTTTGAATATTACAGATAACTAAGAAATAGAGAATCAGCCATACAAAATAGGAAACTTTTTTTATACCAAGGATTGAACCCAGGGGTGCTTAACCACCAGCCCTTTTTCTTTTTTATTTTGAGACAGCTATCACTAAGTTGCTAAGGCTGGCTTTGAACTTGTGATCCTCCTGCCTCAGCCTCCCAAGCCACTGGGATTACAGGTATATGCCACTGTGCCTGTCCAGGAACTGCTTTTGCCTGCCACTCTAACGGTATGATTTACATAGCAGAGGTCTTCCCCTAGGAGTCTGTGGTCAAGTAATAGCAGCTTCAGGCTTTTTTTTTTTTTTGAAGAATAAGCTGAGCCTTTTCAGCTGAGAGATAATTACACTCTATCCCTTCCTGCTTCTCCTATAATTTAATCTGTCTGTCTAAATTGTATACACCTGTTTCTTCTTTTTTTATGCCATCTTCCTTAGTGGGTTTGGAGAAAGTGAGTAATTTTAAGCACTGCTGCAAGACTCTAAAATGACAGCTAGGGATGTCACTGACTGTTATTTAGAAAATTCACTGTTGACATGAGAGGATTTGTATTTGAATTTTTATCTTCATCATACAAGCAATAGATTTGCCGATCTATTGGCAAGCTTCCGTCTAATATCCCTTTGTGACCAAGGATGCTGTGTGGTCATGAGCAAAGCAAATCTAATTTGACTCAAAAAGAGCCAAACCATCATCCTGGACTCAGAATCATGTGATTTGGTTAATTGAAAGAACCACAACCCCCTCAGTGTCAGTCAGAGTTCTTAGGTGGCAAACAACAGAAATTGATTCTGACTATGTTAAGCCACAAAGTAATGCATTGGAAAAATTGAAAGAAAAGCTAAAGAATCAGGTTTTGGAATGTACCACTCAGGGGGGATTTACATTCAAGCCCTAACATATACTTTCTTTCATAATGACTGGGGAAATAATTTTGACCATGTGTCTTTCTACTTAGATTTAAATTCTAGGAAGATGGTTTGATTAGCCAAACTAGGATTTCTAGACTCTTGCTTGAATTGGGGGAAATATCATGAATGCTCAGACAGTCCCACCATGCCACTGGGGAGGGGAAATTTCCCAAAGAACATACAGTTGTTTTTAACAGAAAGAAAAGGAAAATGGATGTGAAGAGGTCAAATCAGCAGATGTATACCATACTACCAAAATATGGTGATTTGTTATGGAAAGACAGAGACCAATAGAAACAGGTGTATATCCAAATATATGCAGACAGCCCAGAGATGAGATCAATAAAAATGTCATAAAAATCTGGTAGTATTAAATCAAACTACTTAGTAGCATTTTTTCTTTGAAATGACTCCAGCACTGCCCAACATTGAATGGTATGTGAATAACTAGTCTATGAAGCATCTCTTTCCAGTCAGCATAGTTTAATCTGCCCTCCCATTCTCCTTGTGGCCACTCCCACTCTCTTCTTTTTACCAACTCTGAACTCCAGGGTTGTTTCTTTCACAAACCATTTGTTTGGGTTGGAAAATAAATCAAACACCATGGTATACTTTATTGACTTTCAATATTTAACAATGGTGATTTAAACTTCTTAAGTCAAAAGTCTAATTAGATGTAGGAAAGACAAAGAAAAAAGTCAGATAAAAATGTTTATTTGAGAATGCCTTCTGTGTACCCTCCTAGGCAGACTTGCTCTAGTTCCCTGGTCTGTGGTGGAAATGAAGGATGATTTTTCATTTCTCTCAAGTACCAGGCCGGCATTTTCAAAAAGAGGTTTATTCAGCGGTTCAGCATTAGCAAGCTTTGTTCTCTGTAAAATTGGACTTTTTGTTATTAAAATATTCACTGTAGGAAACAGATTTGTAACCCATTTCTCATATTACCTACCCTCAGAAAAACAAAATTTGATATCCTGGGGTTTATTTGCTGAGGGCTCTGCCCATAAATCGAGTGAGTGTACATTGGGAAATTTGTCTGGTTAACTCCTTTATGGATGTGCATTAGTCACAACCGCCCCCCCTCCCCAACACACACTTTCGCCCCCAGCACCTCCCCACCTCCTGACTTCCCGCCTCTCCAGGGCTGGTGACCTAATAGCATTTTTCTCCATGCATATTTTGGCTTCGTCCCATGGCCTGGCTGCCTCCGTCTGTCTGAGTCTTTTGAAATTCCTGCATGTTCGCCCCAGATTAAGCCGACCGTGTCTCAGGATGTGTGTTCCGTTTTGTTCTTTCCCCTTAACGCTCCCAGTGCAACGTGTCTGGGGGGGGGGGGGGGAGGACAGGACAGGGAGAAGAGGGAGGGGCAGAGACGAAGAGCTGTCCGCCTTGCACGTTTCCAATCGCATTACGTGAACAAATAGCGGAGGGGCAGCAGGGCCAGAACGGCTTGTGTAACTTTGCAAACGTGCCAGAAAGTTTAAAATCTCTCCTCCTTCCTTCACTCCAGACACTGCCCGCTCGCCGGGACCGCCGCGCCGCTCCCCGTCGCTTTCCAGAAGGACTGGGAAAGGGGAAAGACGGGTGCCACGTCCGAGGAGCTGCTCTGCCTGTCTAAAGGGTCTGCAGCCCACCGTTGGCACGGCTTTGTGGGTACTGAGATAACGGGCACTCTGTTCCCCTCCCTGTTTAAAGATTTCTGCCTCTTTCGCGTGATTTGAGTCCCGTTTTAACTTTTTCTGAGAGCCAAGATCTCCTGTAGAGGAGACAATCCGGTGAAGATGCGCTTCGCCTGGACCATGCTCCTCCTGGGGCCGCTGCAGCTCTGCCCGCTCCTGCGCTGCGCCCCGCAGGCCCCTGGTCAGCAGCAACCGCCGCGCGAGCCACCGGCGGCTCCGGGAGCCTGGCGCCAGAGGATCCAATGGGAGAACAACGGGCAGGTGTTCAGCTTGCTGAGTCTGGGCTCACAGTACCAGCCGCAGCGCCGCCGGGGCCCCAGCGCCGCCGCCGCTGGAACAGACGGTGCCGCCGCACCGCAGCCGCGCACGCCGATCCTGCTGCTCCGGGACAATCGCACCGCCGCAGCACGGGCGCGAACCGCCAGCTCGTCAGGGGTCGCCACAGGTCGCCCCAGGCCCGACGCCCGCCACTGGTTTCAAGCCGGCTACTCATCTTCTGGGACCCGCGACGCTGGCGCCTCGCGCGCAGGTAACCGGACGGAGCCAGAACAGCTCCCGGAGCTCAGTAACCTGCGGCCGCCCAGCCATGTGGACCGCATGGTGGGGGACGACCCGTACAACCCCTACAAGTACTCTGACGACAACCCTTACTACAACTACTACGATACGTATGAGAGGCCCCGGCCTGGGAGCAGGTATCGACCCGGATACGGCACCGGCTATTTTCAGTATGGTAAGCACCCCCAATCCCCAGGGCAGCCAGAGTGCACCAGGTCCCCAAGTATGTGGCTCCTCTACGTGGCTGTCTGGGCGCGGCGGGCCCCGGTCCCTGCTGATTCGACCCCTCCCCCCAAGCCTGCAGAGCCAGCTCTGGAATCTGGTGCAAACCGCACGCCTGGCTCCTTCTGCTTATTTTTCGCTTTGCTTCTCAGCCGGGGGCAGGGGCGGGGGGGGGGTGTAGCAAATTCTCTGGCTTCCCCCAGCTCTACCCTGCAGTCCTGGTGGGCTAAGGATGACAGATAAGGGATCTGAAGGGACCCGGACCCGGAGTAACGAGGCGCTTGTTGCCTGCTGTCATTTAGGTCTCCCGGACCTGGTGCCCGACCCTTACTACATCCAAGCATCCACATACGTGCAGAAGATGGCTATGTACAACCTGAGATGCGCTGCGGAAGAAAACTGTCTGGCCAGGTACCAGCTGGGATCTCGGTAGCCCCGCTCCCCCACCTTGGTGCCTGCTTCTCATTACTTCTGTTCAGGCAGACCAGACCTAGGAAATAGGACAGGGGCTAGGAATAGATAAAGTGATACGTGACCTTCTGGGCATGTTGACCTGCATGAAGAATTAAAAGTTTTAAAGTTTCTATAGATTTGTCACAAATTGTGGTGGACCTAATCCTTATCCTGGAGACTGGTAGTCTCATATTTTTTTCTAAGATTCTTAAACTTTAGAACTAATGACTTTTTATAAACCAACTGTACAAAAATGTAGAAAAACATATTGTAACAAGAAGGGCTTGTTACTATTCCCTTAGAAGATTGGAGGTAAAATTGTCATTGTGGCACCCTCATTGGTAAACCCAAAGTTTTCCCTTTTTGTTTCAGGTCTAACTGAGTTGTTTTATATTACTTCAGCCAGAATAAGACCATGAGCAGTTTTGTTTTGCCTTTAGTCCTAAAATAAAATAGCTATTAGGATATTGGTTCTCTGAGTTTGCACCTAGGAACCAGCAGAGGGAGCAAAAGATGTTTTGATGGGTCCCATAAATATGTTAACATGTAAAATAAGGTCAGGGATAGTATTAGAACATACACTCACATGAAATATGTTAGTCGGAGCACAGTGCTGATCACTTGTACATTTCTTCCACATTGTACCTTTGCAATTGTCAGGGTAGGGAATAGAAGAAATTCAACCTCATTTTCATTCCTAAGTCTTGTGTCACTCACACCATTGTCTTCCTCATGATATTACAGTAGTTTCCTTGTTTTGAAGATGTGAAGTTGCAAAATTATTTAACTAAGTTATATGTGTTCTTTTAGAGTCATTTTCTCACTTTATTTGTTAGTTATCTGTTTAAAAGAAAATATTTTGTTAAATTCAAAGTTCCTAATAATTATAGATCATTTTTAATTTGGGATAATTTCCACCTCAGTTGTTCTTTTGTTTAAACTTGATACAAAGTTGGTTTCTCACACATAGATTTTTAGTGCAAGTTTTATTATGTTGTCACTTTTAAATTCTGAATTTTCACTGTTGTCTTTCATTCACTCAGTCATGAAGTATCCATTGAGTTCTGAGTACCCCAGAACTGTTGGGAGCTTGGCATTCAGCAATAAACAAAATAAACTGAACACCCTAACCTCTTGGAACTGATGGTGAAAGGATATAATATATGATGGAGAAGTTTTGTTTTAAGTTAAAAGTCTGTGAATATAATAATGTTTCTTTTTTCAAAATCACAGTTCAGCCTACAGAGCAGATGTAAGAGATTATGATCACAGGGTGCTGCTAAGATTTCCCCAAAGAGTAAAAAACCAAGGAACATCTGATTTCTTACCAAGTCGTCCAAGATATTCCTGGGAATGGCACAGTTGTCACCAGTAAGTACATGGGCTTCCTGACTTCTGAGTTGCTCTTTCATTTTTCAGATGATTATTGATGTGACAAATACAAGTCTTAAGTCTTATCCAAAAAAGAGAAATTTGTTAAGATTTGTATTTAGAATTGTTTCTAAAATTTGACACAATCAAATAAGTCTGTTTTTAAGATCCTCCAACCAGTGAAACCATTATCTTTTGAACTAAAACTTCAAGCACAGCTTTATCAAGACTTGAGAAGGCATAGCAATTGACTTCAATAACATTTACTCCAATATAGTTAGGATTTCTAAAAATGTTGATTACAGTCCAGATCATCTACAGTTAGCATTAAATAACATTTATTAAAACCACACATAGTTATCAAAAGGATCAGAGACCATTCTCAAAGAAGATGTAAATTACATACTCCATAAGCTGAAAGTGACTTTTTCCATCTTTCAAAAGAGCTATATCAATCCCAGAGTGAATGCCCCTGATCCATACTAAATATAAGGATTTTCACATAAGGTAATGCCATCATCTGCCTTGGTGATTTACCCAGGTGTTCTTAACTGCCAGGAAATCCTGATGTTTGGCCTTAAACTTTCTGAAATTCGAGCCACTTCTTAGTGTCTTTTCCTTATGTGAAAATATGAATAGCTCAACATCTTCTAGCTAACAAAATGAGAAAAATAGATAGGAGCTTTCTAATTTTTCAGATAATATAGAAATATTTCATTCCTAAATAAAAGCTTATGCAGTTTAAATAATAGTGGTGGGTAAAACATGCCATTATTTCCCTATTGCATTTTAATAATGATTTTAAATATGTGAGAATTCTATTTTTAAAAATCTCCAAAAACCTTCCAGAGTCATGTGCTGCTTCTTTTTTGGAATGAGGCATCGGCATTGGCAGCCAACAGAAATATATTAGAGAAAAAAATGGCAAAAAAATGGCTATTTTTATTTAAGGACATATAATTGTCTCTTTATATTTAATATTCAAAGATAAAACGGGTGTAAATAAAAAGCAAAAAAATACCCAAACTAAGTCTGTTATCCTAGTAGCAATGTTAAAAGCTAATAATTTTGATAGATGTCTGTCCAAGGAAAATGGAGGAATCTAGCATGAATCTCTCTTAAAGAAGATAAACTTGACCCCATTTACGATGTGAATCCAAATTTGTGAGCCAACAAATTACTGTCCTCTTGGCTTTGTCCGTATGCAACTGACCACTGTCTCTTTGTTTTGTGGGACACTAGACATTACCACAGCATGGACGAATTCAGCCACTATGATCTGCTTGATGCCAACACACAGAGGAGAGTGGCTGAAGGTCACAAAGCAAGTTTCTGTCTTGAGGACACATCCTGTGACTATGGCTACCACAGACGCTTTGCATGTACAGCACACACACAGGTAAGCTGGCACCCTGAAATCAGAACCCACAGGTTTTAGAGACAAAAGTAGCATACTGTTTTCTTTCTTTCCACCTCCTTTTATAAATGACTTCATTTATTTATTTTGTCAAGATGAAAAATAATATGAGAAAAGGTAAGTGATGCATGTTACTTTTAAAGTGTTTCCAACTTTGCACGTGACCCCTTCTCATTGTCACAGGAGGTCAATATGTATCCACGATAATATGTTCCACAATGAGAAGCCGAAGTTTACTTTCTGCAAATGTCTGAATGGTTCATAGCATCTGCACCCATTCTGTAGTCTTTAATTGATTATAAACGGCTTTAAAAAAATATACCTCTGCTCCCTGAAAAGCCATTCTTTTTTTTTTCCAACTTTTATGCTTAAAATAGAATAGTGATTGAGGCTAGCAAAAGGAAAGGAAATAAGTTTCTTAGAAAGCACTTTAAACACTCTCTCTTTTAATAATGCAAGTAAGAACAGAAGGACACGTTTTTTCCTACACACACATATATTTAATCCTACAGTATAATTGATGTCAGATGTTCTTTGGATGATTTTTTAAAAATAGTGCTGAACTAAGCAGTTTGTATGTCTTGTAACTGGAAAATGTGTGTCAGTTAAAAGCCATGCCAGTATTTCCATATGAAACCCTAATTTGTAAAAGGACATTATAATTTTACTGCAGCCCAAATCTTGGCAAGGAGCATTAAATGCATATAATCCAGGACACAAAAGGATCAGCAGCTGGCAACTTGGGAAGCAAATTTCAGGTCTGTGGCAGGAAGCTTTCTGGTGACCTAAATGTTACCATTACTTCTTTCTCTGAGTTTAGACCATCATAGCAATTGGAAGGGAAGAAGGTTAAATTAGACATATGTGTGTGGGTTGGGGGATAGTACTTATTCTTCAAGCAAAAGGAGATGTAACCTACCCACATACTCTACATGTGTTTATATAGATTTCATTTCCATTCATTTATGAAGTCCCATAGCATCTGGTGTGCAGTGGACCTGGAGTTTATTCTCCCTTTTAGAAAAATAAACAGTTTGGACAGCTCACTCTGAGATGAAGTATTTGAATCTGGTATTGTATGTATTTATAGCATTCCTAGTGCTTCCATTCTTTGGAGTGACCCACTTCATTTTATTTGGTAGCTTTCTTGTCAATCATCCTCTGTATATGTATTACTCAACAATTGTGCACCAGCTCTGGCATTATGAATGATTTATGTATTTGGTTTTTTTTTCAGTAGATCAGTGTCTCTTGCCCATGAACTTCATTTAAAGGAAAAAACATTCTCACAAACCTCAAATGTTGGCTTAGATTAGTTTTATTATAAACCTTCTGAAATGTATTCAAACGTAAAACTATGTATAGCTTCTATATATTTATACTCTTACTAATTCATGTTCTTAGACTCCAAGTTTATATAGTAAATATATACAAAACTAAAAATAGTCACCTAATCTCTTTACCCTAATGTAGTAAAAAGTTGTGCTTTGCAAAAACCAAATAACTAATTTAGATAGCCAGGGCTAGGATTCATATTTAATCTGTTTTAAAATTTTGCCTTTGAATACATGAAATGCCTATATGCTTAATGGTCTCATTTCCAGTTTTATGTTTGCCAATTCAAAAAACCAGAGCTCATGCTTAAATTCTGCTAGCTAATCCTAGAGTGCCAATTCCAGCATTTATATTTGTTTATTCATTTATTATTTTTATTGATTTTTTTAAAAAAAATAAAGACAGCAGAATGCATTACAAATTTTGTTACATGTATACAGCACAATTTTTCCTATCTCTGGTTGTATTATTTTTGAGATGTGATCTCACTATGTTGCTCAGGCTACTCTGGAACTCCTGAGCTCAAGAGATCCTCCCACCTCAGCTTCCTGAGTAGCAGAGATTACAGGTCTACAGAGATTACATGTCTACCACACACCTGGCTAATTCCATTGTTTTCAAGCAGTTTTGTTCATTTAAATGACTAATATTAAGGGCTGGGGTTGTAGCTCAGTGGTAGAGCACTTACTTCACAAGTGTGAGGAACTGGGTTCAATTCTCATTGAAAAACTTTAAATAATAAAGATATCGGGCCCATCTAAAACTAAGAAAAATAAATAAAAATAAATAAAGGAGAATTATTAAAATTTGTCTTCAATAGCTATCTAATCCAATGAATCCTTTATAATGTCATGAATGTAGTAGTAGTAGTAATAACAACAATAGCAGGAGCTAACACACGTATGATGTACCAGAATCAGAATTATGTGCATTATCACACCAAAAAAAATAATTCTTCATTATGTATTTACTACTCCACATAGATGACATTTACTACTCAACATAGATGAAATATGGACCAAGGTAGGATTCCGGACAATAACTGTGGAATGTGGTTTTCCCTGCTGCAGTTCAGGTACTTTTGAGTTTGACTTGTTTGTGCTATCACGTGCTATATGACAGCACAGTTCTCACCACACTCTTCCCAAATCTAGCTACAGCCAAACCAGTTAGTGAAGCACACTAAGGTGATTTTGCTATCTGTTTGATTACCAAAGTTATTTTAAGCATCAAAGCAATTTTGCATGCTGAAATCAAGTGGCAGTATTGAGTTAATATGATTGTAGCACATTAAAATAAAAATACAAGAATTAAAATTTCTTGTAAAGAGCTAATAGAAATAATATATTCCCCGGATTCCAATTTTTGTTTCTTTTTATCCTGGGCCATCCAAGACACTTATTTATTTTTGACCTGAATATCTCAGCAAGTAGAATGTGTGACATTTGCTAGTTTAGGTGTATGTCCATTCATTCAACAAAATATTTTAGTGATTATATGAAATAGGGTATAGTATGGTAGTTAATGTCAGTCACTCTGGATCGTGTTTACTTAAACAAGCTCAATCATTTACGAGTTATAATTTAGAGAAAATACTAGCACCTTCTTCATATAGTTATGAGAATTTAATTTACATATGCAGCATGTTTAAAATAGTTTCTGGCACATAATAATAATAAATGTTAGCTAATCAAAGATGCAACATAGACTCTACCTTTAGGGAACTTACAACCTCTAATTAGATATATTCTTATGTAATATGATCGTAATCCAGAGAAGAAATGGATAACATTGCAAAAACTATCCATTACAAAAATATTAAGGGTACTCTGAATATAAGAAGGTCATTTCTAAGAGGGGAAAATGGGAGAGGGTTTCATTAATAAGACATTTGAGTTAATTGTCAAGTGACCTTTATTCCTGCTCTGGTAATATTCCAGAATTTTGGTGGAGGACTATTTTATCACTTAAGATTGTATTTATCACTGGTAAGTAGTGACAATTTTAAGAAGGCAGGTATATTTCTACTTATTTTAGTACTGTGTCTTTTTCAACCAGAGGTGCTATGAAGCTGGGTAATATATACTATAGTTTTATATCAAGCACTTTATAAATACTAACTGAAAATTTAATTTACAAATAACAGCGTATACTTTAGCACAATCTGACCATTCACCATCATTTTAGGTGTTCTGTTTTGTTTGTTTTAGGGGTTGAGTCCTGGATGTTATGATACCTATGCTGCAGACATTGACTGCCAGTGGATTGACATTACAGATGTACAACCTGGAAACTACATTCTAAAGGTAGAGGCCTTGGCAAATATGTAATTTTTAATTGAAATTAATAGGCACCATTCTGTAGAATCAGATGATGATAAATCATGTTTTTGGAGACAGACAATTTCTAAGTAATATAGACATATGAAAATATTCTTATTTTAAAGAACATCATAGGAAGTTATACTGTTTCCTTCCATAATGTCTGTAGAGTTTAACCACTTGCTTATCTTAAACTCCCTTCCCAGCTTGTGTTAGCTAAATCACTTGCTAATGATTCCCACATAGTAGCTCTACAGAAACAGAAGGGAAAGGGAGTACATAATGATGATGAAATCTTTAGCACAGACGCTGTTTGTGTTGCCTAGGTCAGTGTCAACCCCAGCTACCTGGTGCCTGAATCAGACTATACCAACAATGTTGTGCGCTGTGACATTCGCTACACAGGACATCATGCTTATGCCTCAGGCTGTACAATTTCACCGTAAGTCCTGCTTGCCTAATTAAGTAATTTTCTTTACGAAAAAGTTTTATTTTTATTTTTTTTTGGCCAGGTATTATACAACAACATGTGCCTGTTTCAACTACTATAGCTTTCACTGTAAAGAAACCAAAGATCAAAATTGTTACATAGAATCAGTGCTATCACATAATTAGAACTGATTTGTGTGTGTGTGTGTATAGAAAAGTGAGGACATACTATGGTTTTAGTCAACCTAAAGCTCAGTTTTCAAAATAAGACATACACATAGAACAAAGTGTTTACCCAGAAAGCTTGTGTGGTTCAGTATGTTAAAGTATTCAAAATGTAGTGCAGGTGAGATCATAGGAGCTCAATTGAGTTTCCTGGCCCTTCATACTCAGTGAAGGAGCTTTGAAGAAAGTCCTAGAGTTCTTCAAAGTAGATTTTGAAAATCACTGTCTTTGGGTACAAGACAGTGATGAAGAGACCAGATGAACAGATGAAGAAACCAGATCCCTGGTCTGTGGAAACCCAGATTTCATAGGTTTATTTTTAGAACCACAGGTTTTAAAGGGATATACACAAAAGGAGAGGAAATTCTTGGTCCTGAAACCCTTTTCTGAATGAAGGTGTAGAAGGAATCCTATCTACAAATGTTAACTAGGAGGTATTTTGATGAAAATAATGACACAGTTGGACAGGAGTGCCTGCTTGCCAGTCTGTCCTGTCCCGAGCTATTATACTGCCTGTTCCACTGTTGCTGGGTAATAGATCATAACTGTATATGCACCCTTACCTTATACTTCCATTAATTGGAAGACCCATAGGGTGGTACTGAACATGCATCTGCTTTGCTTTGATGGAGTGGTACTGGTATCTTTGAGTCATGCAGAAATGTGTAGCATGATTTCATATGGAAGCTGGGACAGGGGTTTGCTGCACGTGAACCTGTAGTTTGGTGGCTTTTCCAGGCCCATGTAAGTCTGGTTGTGCCAATTTTGCCCTACACCTGGGCTCCTGGCCAGAAGGAAAGTGGAGCCTAAGCTAGCCCTTGGTCTATCCACAGAGCAATGCAATATTATTTGGGGTTGCATACACCCTGGAAGAGCCACTTTATTCACATAAAGGAGTAAGCATGAGCTTTACAAGTATCACCACATCATTAGAGATAGATGAGGCCCATGACAGCAAAGGAGTGGTACTGAAAAAAAATCAAATATATTCTTCTGAACATGCTGGTTCTATGGCCTACTGTGTGTGCAGTTTGTTATAGAATAACCAAAATTCCCATAGTATCAGTGTAATTTAACCCCAAATGATTTAAGGTGAAATTGGTGGATTAGTTAATTCCCTTTAATTTTTATCATTCCTTAAGTTATTTACTCATTCTCCATTTACTTACTTACTTGTTCTTTCACTATTATACTGTGTGTGTTTGTTAAGGTCCCAAAGTAGATATTAGAGAGTAATGCAGAGATAAATAAATATAACTCCAAGCCCCTATACTGTTACCCTGTAGACATATGACAGAGATTCCAGTATATTACTTATGAATCTCTTTGTTAATGTTTGTCTCCTGCCCCAGTCCATGAAGACCAGGTTCTAACTGCCTGTCTTGCACTGTATACCTACCTGTTGCCTGGGACAGGCCTGTCACCTTGCAGCCTCCCACTCAATACATAATTAACAAACAAATCAAATAACCCTCTCTCTCAAGGACTTTAGTATTAAATAGAGTGAGTGAGAGAAATACACACAAAAATGTAATAGAGCCAGGTGCGGTGGTGTATGCCTGTAATCCCAGCAGCTTGGGAGGCCGAGGCAGGAAGATCATGAGTTCAAAGCCAGACTCAGCAATAGCAAGGCACTAAGCAACTCAGTGAGACCCTGTCTCTAAATACCAAAAAAAAAAAAAAGGAATGGGGATGTGGCTTAGTGGTTGAGTGCCTCCCTCTGCCTTCAATCCCCAGTACACACACACACCTCCCCCACCCCCGCCAAAAATGTAATAGAGAGACAAAACAAAAAGTCCCATGAAGGTAAATTAACATGCACTGAGACTGGAAGGACTTCTACTACAGTAAGTTTGGTGACTCATTATATTACGGGCCTTCCAGTAAGTGTTTGTCCCAAGAGGTGACTCTTGCTACATAGGATGTGTCTTTACTTTAAATCAGTAGAATCCATTTAGTATTTTCAGATATCTGAAACAAATGGAAACTGTTATATTGCTCCAGCAATATTGTGACTCTATAAGAGGGATTCCTCCTGTGGCCACCTGCTTAGTTATTTTTAATTCACCAATGATCTCTGACTACAACTAAAATGCAAGAGAAGGTAGCTGAGGTAGAATTTTAATAAGTAATATTGATCAGAGGAAAATATGAAGAATTGAAATAACCCATGGTTAGTGACTCATAGTAAAATATAAGCTCATACTTACTGTATGAGTGGGAAATCAGGAAAATATAGCCTTTTTGACTTGAGAAAAATCTGTCCCCTTCAGGAGAATGATGTTGCCTCTTCTATATTTTGACTTTCATCTCAGGCCTCCTTTGCTAGAGATCAGAGTTCAGAGGAAGGGGAGATTTCTTTGGGCTGAGATTCAGAGTGGCTTTAGGTCTGTATTCGAATTGGGCCTTGAAGCCTGAAGACTGCACTCAGGGGAGATAAGGAAAAATAAAATACTTGGGAATCAATCTAACAAAAGAGGTGAAAGATTTATACAATGAAAACCACAGAGCCCTAAAGAGAAAAGTAGAAGAAGACCTTAGAAGATGGAAAAATATACCCTGTTCATGGATAGGCAGAACTAACATCATCAAAATGGTGATATTACCAAAAGT